TAAATGCTCCTGTACTGAATTGGTCACTGTGTTGCATTCTTTAAAAATCTTTATCGAGTAGTGTTCTGAGATGTGTTTAGAAAGCGATCGCTTTATGTGGCCAATGTAATCTGCCCCACAGGAGCACGTCCAACCTCTCATCCTTCCTTAATTCTAATTCCCTTCTGTCGTATGTTTTGGTTTTTCTTCTTTTGAAATTAGTCTTTCGTAATTTTAAAGCGTAATCATTTATTATTATCCTTTAGCAATTTTTCACGATAATTATTCAGTTATTATTACGACCTTTATGTTTTTCGTTTTTCTTCACATCTGTCAAGTGGACAATTATCTTTCATAATTCTGACCTGTAAATTATTTTCACCCTTATATTCTTCTCTAACCCCCTGATTGTTACGTAACCTCATTCAATAATTGGAGTGTCGAATCACTTGATGGTGCAATCTTTCCTATTATTCTATAGACACATAATTACCAAATTTTCCATGCTCAATCCTCTTTATTTCTATTCAGTGACACAATGAGTTATTTTAATTAACAGTAACTGAATTAAAAGAGAAGACTAAACTATCAAACTTAGCTGAGAAAATCAGATAAAGTACACTGAATTTACAGCGTACAGCTAAACAAAAGAAGAATAACATCATATGCAAAATATTTAACAGCATGATAGAAAGCAGTTTTAAAGTCTATACAAGAGTTGGATCAGACAACTACAGGCAGATATACAAGCACTTAACAAACAGCTAACTAATAACTGGTTAGACATCCCAACCAAATTAAAACTAGACAATTTTGATCATTATAAACCCACCATAGTTCGAAAATGATAGTTAATAATCACATGTCTGAATGAAAGTCGCACTTCAATGTTTGCTACCACTAATAAAGAAATGCGTCATTACTACAAAAATGATCATGGGAATAAAGAAACACCAGTCATAAAAATAGACATAAATGTATGTTCAATAAAATACTGTCGATAAGGATACAAAAACACAAGGATGACTTATATAACATAAAATACATGAATTTGAACAGGAAAAGACGGAACAGAAGCAAACAAACCCTGGAGTTTCGATAAGCGTGAAAACCAACAATAGGAAACATAGCACAGATATTCAAATACATAAATGTTCGTGTGAACAATGTACAAAATAAATTCACAACGTGGAAAGGTATAATTAATCATTTCTGTATGGTCCATAAATGGTCATCAGTCACTGGATGTGAGATTAGAAAAATAAAGATCAAGGAAAAACAGTTATTGAGCCCCAGTAATTGCGTCCTGTCATCAATAGGTGTCCATATAAGCCAATCAGCTTTGCCAACCTATATGGCTGGAATGGGACAACTATCGGGTTACGAACACATCTGATCCGATGTTTATTATACCAACGTAATTCATTATCGCTTAATTCGAGAACATACATAAATAGATAAATAATCGCATGGATTAATTTACCATTCAAACATTTGATGCTTCTAATGAAGTCAATATAAAGCATAAAGTGCGTAGTTCTCATTGTTGATAGTTCTGCAAACAACGCTTTCATTATTAATATGAGTAATATTCCTCACTGAAAACAAATTATCATTTAACTACACTATTGGGTAAAATGACTGATACAACGTACTACCCTCTTCCATCATATTTTCGAATTAAATAATCTGATCAGCATCAAAAACTCAGTAATTTTTCAACTAATGTAATTTATTTAGCTCTAAAGTAATCAACCATAAGTCGGATATGTCAAACCTCATATATACATCTATTACATTTGTGGCATAGCTTTATGTCTTAGTCATCAAATTACCTTGAATTCCATACTTGTGAATTATTGTCTTTTTCTGAAATACTTTGATTATTATCTTTGAGTGCGTTCTACGCGCTTTCTAAACTGTCGGATAAAAATTCCATTTGTTATTCTCGCTTTTGAGTTTGTGTATACACTTATTTATTTATAGTGATGTTCACCTACAAATATGACGTGTACCTATCGAAAGTTCATATTAATTTCATGCAATGACTGTGAGACTACAGAGTTCGACTTTGAAAAATAACCAACAACGGTGTTTCAGATTATCAAACTATAAACAGGGTGAAAATATAACTTATGGATGAACCAATCACATTTCGAATAACAAGTCTTGGATTTTGGCACGAAATTCATTCACCCAATCGTCTAAATAGCGTTTTCGCATTTTAGCCGATGTCAGCTCGTGATAAAAAACATAAATCTAATTCCAAATCCAAACCATCAATTGTAAATCATGATCCCTATTCTTTATGCTGCTTTATAACACTTATTTAGCCCTACTAATTAGGTGGTTATTCTCAAGGCCACTTTAGCGTCGCTCTAAGGTCGCCATTTATTTATTTGAGCACATAAATATTAGTACAAGAAGTCAACGAATACATATGTGCCACATAAATCATTTGATTTGTGTGAGGGCTGGGATACCGTCCGAGTGGCCGAACCGAAGAAGGTGGTTCTCTTAGAGGACCACGCTCGAAGCCATCGACCTAGATGTCTAATCCACAAGGCAGTGGAGCAACGTCAGGAGATGTAGTCCCATGGTAGCCAGTGACCAACAATAGGCTCATACGCCATTTGTTCCTTCAGGATCCTGGAGCCCATGTGCGTGATTGGTTTGGAATCAGGGTTTTCAAACTCCCCTAAGTGGATCCTCCGTATCCACCAACCTGGTTAAAGCGCCGGACATTCACTTTTCGTCCTCTCAGTTTCGTAGACAACAGTAATGCCGCGAGAAGGTAGTGAGTAGGACTTGTGTGGCAGTGGTTGTATGAAGGTGGCCACTTGAGAGAATTTCGAGAGGAAGGGCTGACTCTCCCCACTCTCGGCCGTACCAGGACGATTGGGGGCATGAATTATAGTCTCACCATACAGATGTCTTAATTCAGAAGTAGAACCACCAAAACGTAATGAACTTAATAAAAAACAATGCAAACATTTAAGAGGGGACAGAACAATAGTTTAAATTTAATTCATTGTTAGGTAAAATAAATAAAGATTAGTTACAGTATTTCTTCTCATCAAAGCAGCCCTAGTTTATAAGTTTTTTTTTAATGTACAAACTGTTAAACGCATATTAAAGAAAAGATGAAAGGAAATCAATCACCGTGATTGTAATTTCGACTTTTTACTCTGTCTTAAGTAACAGGCAATGAAGTAGATATGCAAAGGCTATCAAAATTAGGTTGAAATTTGAACTTTTTTCAAAACGTTTCAAGGGCCAGTTTATAATTTCTCCTATGAATTATTTTGGTCAGTAGTACTATGTTTCTTCATGATGCTTTACCATGGATTATACTTCAACGAGTTCATTTTAGATAAATTTTCCGTTTCATTCTAATCTTACAAATCGCCTTTTTCTTATCAATTTTCCCAAGCTGTCATTATCAAATGCTATAAAATTCACGGTTTATAATGGACTTTAATTTAATACACGATTACTCTATTCACAATGCTTAGCAGTAATCATCTAATTGGTTATAGAAAATAAGCATCAATTTAAACAAATCAGTGTTATAGTTGACAAATTATCCTACTAATATAACTACTAATATGTTTCTGCCAGTAACTTTAATTATGATCACAGAAATACATTCATGAAAATAATCCAGATAGAAAAACTTATCTGATACAAAATACATTTCTTACAACGTTCAAGATATGAGGAATAAAAACAAACGAAAGAACGATTTTGTAAAGCAAAGTAGACAAAGTTATCTAAATAGAAAAACTAAGAGCAAAGAGTATTGAAGCATACAAAATTAAGGGAGAAAAACATCGTACAATTTATGTGAATTTTTCGTCCGGTTTAGCAACACTGTTGAAAACTTTTCCTGGAACCGACAGTAGTGTAATGCCTCAACAGGTTTCACATTTGCTCAAATCTCCTTTTTTTGGTATCTTGATGAGATATCCTTCTATCCACTCCATCAACACTTGTTCCCCTCCAAAAACTTCTTGAATTTACGTGTAACATGTTTTCAGTTGGTTCTGTGTCTGAATTCAGTGCTTCAGCTGGTATGTTGTCAGGTCGTACTGCTTTCCCACTCCTGATTTGTTTGATGGTCATCCTGATTTCTCCAATCGTTGGTGGGATAACAACTACAGGAGAGACTGAAGGTGCTACTCCGATGTCCTGTAGGTTCAGTGGGGCTGGTCTAACTAAGAGTTCCTCGAAGTGTCCCACCTATCTGTTCCTCTGTTCTTAAATCTGTGATAGTCCGGGATTCTTTCTCCCTGACTCATATCTCTGGTTTACTATATTTCCCTGTCAGTTTCTTTATTGTCATATAGTTATTTCATATTTCCTGATGTTGCAGCATTTTCCACTGTCATTGCTATATATTCAATGTATTTCTGCTCGTCAGTTCTAATGCTCTTCTTCACTTGTTTGTTTGCTTCTGTGTATTCAGCTTGTGCTTTGACTTTCTCTGCTCGTGTTCGACTGTTTCTACTTACTGTCTTCTTGTTCTTCCTTTCCTGAATGCTGTCCAAGGATTCTATTGAGATCCATTCCGTATGATGATGCTTATTGCGGCCTAGCTCCTCCTGACACGTTGAGATTAATACTTCATTGATCCCTTTCCAGTTGTCCTCCATAATAATCTCTTCTTCTCTCAGTAGACCCTGTAAGGCTTGGAACCTGTTGTTGAGTTTGCATCTTGAAGGAAATCTGTTTTCAAACTTTCTAATGCTGTTCCGCCAGTTGTCCAGTGCATCATTAGTTTCAATTTCTTCTTAACAACCACTAGGTGGTGATCTGAAGCTATGTCAAGTCTCTCATCAGAATGGTGAGATCTTTTCCCCAAATGCCCTGATACGGCCGAGAGTGGGGAGATCCCGCTCTCCCTCTCGAAATGCTCTCACATGGCCACGTGCACACAACCACTGATAGGGAAGTCCTGCTCACTGCCTTCTCATGGCGGAAGTGTTTACGATATTGAGGGCGAAAAGTGAATGTCTGGCGCTTTAACCGGGTTGGTGGACATGAAGGATCCACCTAGGGGAGTTTCTGGTTTTTTCCCTACGACTTTTATACTTATCAAGTCTACACTTACCATTCATACATTCGGTTTCATTTTATTGTTTTTTTTAAACTTCCCGATCACTGTGTAACCCTACTTTGATATGTGAATCTTCTTAACAGATTGCATCTGTTAACTCATTATCAATACGATCGTGTAACTTCAGTAAACAATATTGTAGAGACGAAAACTTTCTACATTGAGTTTTCTTTATTTCTTCCTCAATTACACAATGAATTTCAAATACACAAGTAACACACTCATTATACAAGTTACATTTCCTAAATATATTACTTTCACTTAGTGAATGAAGTTAGGTTGATTATGTCAAGTAACAACATAAAAAGCATCAGTATACAAAAGCACACGCATATTTTACGAAATATTGTCTTTAGCATACATACATCGTTTGTTAATTAACGATGAACATGAATCTCCATCTTATAAGAAATTAACAGAGTTGAATGAAGAACCAGTTAAATTTAAAAACAATATCATCTTATCCAAGTAAATTACTCAACAGAGCACAAATCAACCAGAAAAAAAACCACTACAATCCATGGAATATAGATAAACAGGAGACCAGAACAACTAATTATTGAGTGTATACAATCAGTAAAAACAGTCCAAATTTCAACGTTGACCCTACCCTACAACTATCTACGTATAAATCAATTTTTTTTTCTTAAAAAAATTTATTCCTTTTCTTGAGAACAAACCGCTTTTTATATTAGAAAATATTGAGGAGGAGAAGAAGAAAAAAAGTTGAAGATACAATAATAAGCACAACGCAATATTTTGGGGTTGTTATTTAGGGGAAAAAAAGCGGAAACAACGAACCTAAAACATCAAATAAAAAAGAAAAGAAAATCAAAGTAAAAAAAAAGTTAAACAAATTGACAATTAAATAAGATGAACTAACGCATTTACACATAAAAAATAAGTTTCTATTCATTTATTCATAGAGGAATGAATCAAATAAGAAAAAACCGTAGGCATCATATGATGCATTAAAGTAATGTACAATTATTTCATGTGTAATATCAGAAGTTTTAAAATGTATTCTTTTTAATTAATGTTTTATTATTGTTTAACATTAAAATATTGTGTATTTGTATATGAATTCAAATGATCATTATTCAACGAATTCGATGATATCATTGGATAATTATTAGTAGAATACAATGTTACTGAAGTAGATGATGGTGAACATGGATAGTTTTGTGTTACAGCATTAAAATATACTTGTGGACAGTAATATTGACTTGTTGTTACTGTTGTTGACATGATTACATTTTGTATAGAATTAGTAGATAATAATGGAGGTGGTGATGTATGAAGTAATTTATTATCATCATAAACACAATATAATGAGGGTGTTGAAATACTTATTGAATTAGATGATAAAGTTAGTTCAGAAGTTGTAAATGAGAAATTTGTTGGACACTGTAATGTATCTGGTTGAAGAGTTGAAGGAATTGTTTGAAATGTGGATAATGATTGATTAGTATTTTCATTACTTAATTGATTATGATGATTATCTGTAATTTGTGAATCACTAACATTATTTAATTCAATATCGTTTGGTATCTGGCAAAAGAAATAATTTTAAAATACAATAAAATAAATTAGTATATTTTTTTCTTGAAAAATGTAAAGAAAACTTGTTATATTTTATAGCTTGAACAAAACAGACATAACTAGAAACTGGATAGAAAAGAATACATCATTGATTTTTCTAGCTCTTATAACGTTTTTGTTAACATTGAAAATCATTAAGTACTATTTTTAATTCAAAGACTAGATGTGCTTTAGTATCTTTGATAATAACATTTCTGTAACGCGGATTTGATATCCTTCGTTACTAGAACATCTAAGTTGAACAAATTCACTCTACATGTAGAATTACTGATAATTTATTAGATAAATTTAGTGATTTCAGAAATAATGTGATAAAGATGATGTAAAATCACCTGAACTTAGTAAAAAGTTTCCAAGTGGACAACGGAACTTTAAAAGTTACTTGATTGATTAGTACCAGTAAAGTTAAACTAAGTGAGTAACACGTACACCAAAAAGCATACTGCTAAACGAAATGTGTCATAATAGAATGTTAGTTGGCTTATTGAATAAATTATATTCTCTCGACAGGAAAATAAAGTAGTTGATAACCGTTCATTGACTTAATCAAAACAAAAATACCGCAATCAGAACTGAATTTAATGATACTACACTAAAAGTAGAACAAACTGAATAATGAATGAAATTATTATGTTATAACGGAACAAATAAGATTATGGAGATTTTTAGCTCAGGCGGATGATTTTGGTAAAGTTTTGTTCTCTGAGCTGGATAGTTTGGTAGTGAATCTTTCATTGTTCTTTTGAACAAAATCATCAGCACAAACTTCAGGTAGAATTGTTCGAATTCCTCTACATATGATTCACAGCTTGTTCTGTCGACCTCGATCTTGATTGGTTATTGTTGACCTTTAACCCATCGTTTCCTACTTCTTTGTTTTGATTGCATCTTTTTAATTTGATTCTTCGTCCGATACTTGTCCATGATTTTCCAGATTTGTCATGGTAACATCACATATCGTCGCTTATATTAATGCATATGGACAACCGTGGACACACATTCGACTGGAAAAACGTTAAAGTTTTAAATAGAGTGGAGTGAATTCTAATTGATACATATTGGTTATCTGAACCTTTCCATTGATGTTGAGGACTGCAATTGACCAAATAAAAATTCAATCAATGTGTAGAACGTAACATTAAAATTGAGATTTCACTCATTAAATTAAAATAAGTAAAATTATATACAACGACGCAGGCATCTTGTATTACATTTTGCTAGGATGTGTTCAATAATCAAGAACAGGTATAAGTACTCAGTTGGTTAGATCCAGTTATGTACAGCAAGCCTAGAATTCACACACACCGCTCAGTTTATTATATTTGAAAGCAGTTTTATAACCACTAGCCCACCCCTCACTACAGGAAGCGATAATAATAATAATAAATTTAACAGAGTGAATATATCAATAAGTTATCACTATCAACTTACAAGACCGCCTAACTCTCGAACAAGTTTACACAATTTCATAATTTTTACATCTTGATCATTTAAAAGTAATAATAAATCTTCATGTTCACCACGTAGATTATCACGTTCTTTTTCAAGCATTAAACACTTCTGTTCTAAATTCTAGGAAATAATGGGATTTGAGGGGAAGGGGTTAGAGAAAAGGAAAAAATACAACATACACTGTGTAAAACAATGCTTTCACTAAAGGAAAAATCAATAACGACATTAGCAATAATGAAAAACCTTAACCATTTATTAACGAACGATAACATAAATATGCTCAAGTTATTTGGCAGCAAATTAGTTTCAAGTTAAACAGCATAACTGACTGGTTGATGAACAGATTGTCTTAAATACAATAATGTAAAACAAAAAAGTAATTGTGTTTTTGAGAGATTAATTAAAAAGAAAGAGTAATACTGACAGCGTGATGTGTGGTACTGATGATGGCAGATATAAGTAGTATGTATTACCAACCGAAGGTAGAATACCTGAAGGCAGAAGGTTGAGAAAATCGAAGAGAACGAGAACAGAGAGTGATTTGTATGGAAACGAGGGAACAACAAAGTCTGAAATAATTGATGGACATTTTGCAAATAAAGCATTTACTGTATCGTTCTCACATTTTACTAAGAGATTTCGTAATTTTGTATTCAAATACACTTGGTTATCGTCGCCTGTGTTCATGCTCATTACAATAAGAATAGTCACAAACAATAACATCACTAATCGTGATTTTTAAAAAAACATATATATCCATTCAAAGTTCCGATTCCTATACTGAACATTCTTAGCTAGATATTTGAATTTGTATAATTGCAAATCGCTAAAGTCGAGAAAATCTTACGGTAATGATTATCTAAAAAATCTTCACAAAACAATTTCATTAGTTCACTTGTATGATTCATAAAAGACAATGAGATGAAAATCGGTACTGTTTTGTGCCAGATTTCAACGAGAAATAGCTTACTGCCATTGAAGCATTTACCTTTCAATTATCAGGTTCAGATGCACTTTCCCTATGTTGCCTGAGTCACATGAAACATGTGTACTTGATAAATATGTTTTAGGTACGTATCCTCATGCATAAATGATTTCAAACGAAAGAGTAAGAAAGGAAATTTATTTAACAGGTTCTACATGGACCGAAATACATAGATAAAAAGACACTGTTTCTTATCTTCCCTGATGTTATTATTAATAAGTAAGTGGAGTTATGGCGACCGAGAGATTGTTTAGATGAAAGTACTGAAAACCAGACGAAAAATGTGGTTAAATCACAAATTTGAAGATTGACTGTCCTTTTGAAACTTATTATATTTAATATGCAATATCGGTTAATCATCCAAAATATTACTATTATTAATTAAATGTGTTCGTTGTAGAATTATAAAGATACTGATTATCAAAAATGATAACAAAGATGATTTATTAGATAATGATACACTCAAACAATGTCAGTTAGACATTGTGATGCTCTCTATAAATATCCATGACTAGATCAGAAGTCAATTAACAGTTACTAATGATTTGTAATCAAACGAAATAGTTTGGGTATTTTGGTTACTCTTTCCACTTTTACACTAAAGAATAATGCATCCATACATTTCAAATGACATTGTTTCAATAATAAAATAATAATCATTAATAGTAATACAACAATTCATAAAACACAAAAAGAATGGTCTGTCATAAACAATTTCCCATATTGATTGCAATTTATGTATCTACCTAACAAATCAACACCGAAAAAAACAATTATTCAATAAATTAAAATTAATAACTAGAAATGATTATCTTACTATTACTATTATTATTATTAACATAATTTTACAATAATTATTTATACCACTTTTTAGAAATATTAATATAAATTAAACTGACAACTTACTTGAATAGTAACATTGTCAGTTATGGTTAATTCTAGAAAATAAAACGGGAAATATTGTAAAAATAACAATTACATATATATATACAGAAAAAGATAGTTTAATTGACTAGGAAAATAAATACAAGAATAATAATTAAGATATTAGATAGTTATTTAACTGGGAAAAGTGAGGAACAAACAGGAAGTCATTAAAATTCATAAATAGTTAGCATTGAATAACATGCAACTTATACATTATCTTATTCCGTCAGTCATCTTCGATGTAATAGTTGACAGAATTATGTATCTGTTCAAGTTGGCATATATAATTATCGGCTTAGAGAAAGAGGAAATTTACAGGATGAAAAGGAAAATAGATTAATTAATTTGAGCCATGATAGAAAGTTAAACATACGAAGCACAATTTATTTGTATAGAATTGCACAAGTATATACAGTTGACGAGTCCCAAACGAAATGCGCATCCTGGATTCCTGTTGGAGTGACCCAGAAAATTTCTCGCAAAGGTCAAGCAAGGATCAGGAAAACACTAAGCGTTTCTTCCAATTAGCGTTCACTTGAAGTTTTAGCCAGAAATATCAAGAGAGCGAAACGTCACATACAGAGGTTCTGATTGACTGATTGCTACACCGTTACTATGTTTGGTAGCCTTCCAGAATCTTCTAGCAACACAAGGACATTTAAAATATTATAAAAAAAACCTGTATTTTCTGTATTGGAGTAAAGTACTTCTCGCATACTTTGCGCCTTCTCTCTCGTTGTTCAGGTCGCTGTATAGTTCTAGCTTGGGGGTTACAGAATAGCTTAGGAACCGAATACAGCGTTCAATTTGCAAGACTTATCAATTCCACTTCTAGCCACCATATATCTCAGCTTATAAGAAGCACAGTTCGAAAGGAAGAAATTAAATAAGAGGAGTTATGAATGATAACTCAAAATCTAGAGGAAGATAGGTAATGAATCCGATTGAAATATGACAAACGGCTAATAATTTCATAGATATTATGTTAACTACCAGTATTTTTTCTAGATTACTTCAAACCCAATCAACACATAGTGTTGTGAACGAGAACATAGGTGGGGACAACCAATGTATTTCAATACAAAATTACAGAATGTCTAGGTGAAATATTAGAACCATGTATTGAATACTTCAATGAATGAATGATCGAATCAAGTTATAACTGTTTTATAAAATAAAGAGGAAATTCATCTTGAAACTACATTGTTATACCAGACTCACTTTGTAGTTGATCTTCATTGACCATGTTATTCTGTTTTGCATCACTTGGAGTATTACTATTAATTGTAGAACGACAAGTATTCAGCTCAGATTCTAATACACTTATACGATTACGCAACATCGCTATCTCATTCTCCTGTCTTGCCAGCTTCTCATCATATTGTTGTTTACTTATTGTTGTAATTGTAGGATCGACAGGTTTACTATTTTGGTGATTATCACTAAATGAAGTACAATTCTTTACTCCATTATTACTACTGTCCAACTGGAATGTATGCATTACTTCATCTAAATAAACAAATGATCAATTGATCAGTAGAAGAGGTATCATATGAATGGCTTTTATATAGTTCAGAAAAGCTTCTTAACTAAAGTCATTCACAATTTAAGTCTAGCTACAGCTAGGTGAAGTGTAACTGGCAGTAAAACGTATTACAATGAAAGTGATAATACAATATTTATAGTGTTTCTGCGTATTTTACTAGCAATACTGTTTCAGACGCAAAAAATAAAACGACAAATTAAAAAAAACATAATTTCCTATTTTGAAAGTTAGTGAAAATACCAATCCACTTTATACACCGAAAGAAAGTAGGCTATCGACTAAGTATTCATCATTAAGCCAATTAATCGAAAACCTAAAATCAATTTTGTGCTTAGTTTATTTTGACGAGTCCGGTATTGTACCTGATCTTCAAACAATAATTTACGGGATCAAGATTTGGTTATAAACATGTAATTGGCTACTGATTTCTAAGCTATTACCAAATAAACACCAAAAGACACGTTCACCAACCAAATGTTTTATTTTGAAATAAAACTTTGACAAATCATAACTAGGAATAGTATTTATTATTGATCAGGTACTATTGATCAACTCTCCTACTACTCATTACATTTAGGACCCAACATAAAGAGTCCCTATCCAATAAGAAGTTTAAAACAAAAAAAGTAAATGAATCACTAAGGGAAACATATAAACACTTACATTCTAATCGTTTGAATAAACGTGTAAATGTATAATCAAATATTAAATCATCAGTAGACTGAACAGATATTTGAGGTTTTTTTGAGGCTGTAATAAATGATTCAGCTTTGGATATTTGACTTAGACGTTCTAAAATCATATCTATCCCGATACGTTTCTCCAGGGCATTATATAATGTTGATCTAGAGTTTAAAGAGAAAAACAAAACAAGTTAATAAGATTAACAAACAAACGAACGATTGTATGACATTTTTCTTCAAATACTCTTGCAATTATCAACATCCTTTACACTAAAACGTAAATTTAACACTATTTAATATCAAAACGTTTTCGTATCTTAAACTCAGGACTACACCTTTTGAGAGTGATGACTTATGGTACTATATATGCTAACAAAACAAATGTATATGGAGTAGGTTTTAAAACTGAAACATTATGTGTGAGAAAGTGGATTACCCAAACCATTAAGTTACAACTTCAACATATTACGAACTTCGACTATTGATTTCATGGTTAAACCACTTCCTAGGACGAAATTCACAGTGAGTACAAAGTGCGACAGATTTCGATAGTTAGAGGTTTATAAACCACTGTCAGTATTACAAGAATACAAGTAAATTACTAACCATGTAAAAGTTCTTACACAAAATTATATGCTAGATATATTTAATTGTGAAAATTAACAATATCAAACGAATTTTCGAACCAGTGCAATTGGACAGGGTTTGAAAAGGGAACTCAGTGGTTTCCAGTCGGTTGACTGGACAACACATTTGATTATTATGCAAATCGACGAACTGAGCGGAATTAATGTAAACTCTATATTGAGAAATACGACAGTATGTATACACTCATTTGAAAAACGAGGATAATAAAATCGACTATTAATTAGAACAACACCGAAACTATAAACAATAACAAGTAACAAAAACTTATGCAGAGTACAACTAACTCTTATTCATTTACTAATAAAAACATAATAAGTATAAATGTTTTTCGAAATTTAAGTTCACATTTAGGTAACAGTAGATTACAGGTGAGAGCAAATCGTTTACTAAACGGTTGTAGGAACAGGTGACACATAAAATATCAAAATATTTTTAGTTAAGATAGTTATAATCTTTTTTTCTCTAGAAAATACTACTTATTTACACAATCAGCAGAGTTATCAACGTAACATTTTAAATGAAATGGGTATAACTACGCATAGCTTTATCCCTAATGTGCTGCAATCATCATATATCACTTTACTTGTTGTAATGGGTTAAAATCCAAAATCTAAATTATTAAAAATTATACAAAAAAATCTTTGTTCACGAAGGTAAATTGATTTAAAAAATGCAGATATTTTAAAAGCAAAATATCTTAGATCATGAAACTGATATATTGTTAACGTCCAATCAAATTCAATCAGTGTTGCATGTTTGAAACATGAAAAGGATATTGTTAACTCTCATTTCTATTAGCTTCATTTGACGGTTGGGATTACCTGACTTAGTACCAAAGAAAGAGTAAGATATCGGAAATACCATCTATATACTTTATGTCAGCATTACAAGTTTAGTTAGGCTCCTTAAGTCGCTTGAATAGATAGAATTTAATTTTAAAAATCTTAATACAAATTGATATTTTTTCCTCAAATTATTTCGCCGTTGACCGCTTTTATTCATAATTCTAAGTAATTACAAGCGTTGTACATAATCTGATGACGGGTCGGATTTAATTTATTTGCTCATCAATACTGCAGATAAACTGCAGTATTACGTCAATTAAACAAATTAAGTTTTCAATTGTAGCTGGTTACAGTTTGGATTATTGCGAGATAATCCATGCAGTTACTGTCTAACTGACTGACAAAGGCGTTTAAAAAACCAACATACCAGTTCATCAGTTCAGTTTGTAATACATTGTACATGAAATATTAATAAGAAAGGTATCAAACGACTTACAGGAATAATCCAAAAATGCAAGTCTCGTCAAAAATTAGGACAAATGTAAGAGTAAATGTAAACAAGCTAGTGGCGCTGGGTTTTGAATGAATTTCCGTTTTTTCATCTTTCAATGTATATTCTTCCCGGTTACAATCCAAACTCCAATCACAGGGGTTTATGGTGTTCCAACCAAAAATCAGTAACTTCATGAAGAGATCCCATGTCTCTATCTAATTATCTTAACGCTTCTTCCAAACTACTTCAACTGGGGGGGGGGAAATATCATATCACAGTGTTCTGCGACTAAATACTTAAACTTTACGACTATTTCAGTCAATATAGGTTTACAACTGCGTCAACTAATTTCCTGTAAAACCCTAAGACACTATATTAATTACACGGCAGTTTCTTCGTGAAGGTAAAAAAATCTGTAAAACAGATACTTTCAACGCATACACCTAAAATTCTATTAATTATCCTAAAAACCAATAAAATTGGAAATTCACCAAGTTATTATGTATACTATAGTTTTACTAACAAACGTGCCAGTGATATAAATAAAATATTCATGTCAAGTTCTACCTCCTAGTGTCCACAACCATGAAATAAAACGTTTACCAATCAAAGTTCAAAAACTGTTACCTTATTTCGGTTAGACATTGAAGCCTCGTATAAATTAGAAAAACTTAACACTTTAAAAAAAGAGAATATTCATATGCCTAAATAATAACAACAAATAATTACCTTTCAAATCCATTTACATTCCCAGGATTGTAAATTACACAGATGCAAACTAATAATGTAGTCAAACCGTGAACTAATGCTTCATTTTCGTCATTATCCACTGCGCACGCTTCTGCAATAAGCGTCCATAAATACGAGCCACGATTCACTGATTCTGTCCGATCATCTCCTGTACCGGATGATGGATTTAAAAAACATCTTATTGCTTCAGAACAGTTTGTGAACCAAGTACATAATAATTGCAGTAAACCCATGCGAGTTTGAAAACGATTACACTGTTTTAATTTCAAAAATAAAGAAAAAGAAACAAAATACGTTTAGAAGTAATTACACTACGCGGTTGCGCGATCGAAATGAAGCAGCTAGATTCCAGCTTGTAAGCTACCGAGGTTAAAAACAGAATTTTTTGATCAACACCACTTGAAAAATGTCTTTTTCACGAGTGAGATATTTAAAATATGAGATCACGTATGATAATAGTGTTTGTAACTTATAATTTCTCAAATAGTTTCCTATCCTATGTCAATAAATAGCAATAGTATATGAAGCCGAAAATTGGTATAACAGTTTTATTACGTGAAACAGAATAATGAGTACGGTTCTATGACAATGCATATAAACTGAATATCAAATCTTGGAAAAAAATTCATGTAAACATTGAGTTATAGTTTCGTAGAACGCTTGCCGTCTTATATATAAGCAGCTACAGTAAGTGAAACTGAGACTTCAGCCGACAGACTTAATCAAAAGAAAAGAGCAATAAATGCGGTTTTATGACAACGTAGATAGACATAAGTAAAGATATCAACAAACCAGAGTGTTATGACAACTTCCTCCGTATCGGTAAATAATTGTCTAGTTAGAACTGAGAAAAACTACAAATGGGAGAGAAACAAAACATTTCCGCAGTTTGCTGATGTCATTGGATACAGACCTCTGTTCTCTTGAAAAGAAACGTGTTTTACTGTCCTGAATAGGCACACCTCATCGTTCTAAACAAGACCAACACAATCCTCCACATTTATGCTGATATTGTCAGTGCTGTGATAAATGAGGCCAACTCATCAGATTTGCGTAACATAACACTATAAAATTCACGACACTTCAAGCTCCTCCATTTAGAAAATTTGTTGAAGTAAAGAATTAAAACGAACTAGAACAGTTGAACAAACAGTGAATAAGATGGTTACGGTACCTAGGAGACAATATATTCCCCTAATTGTAATTTAAATTTCTAAATCCTCAACTACGTTCGCCAATTCGTAAGATCACGCAGTTCCCAGTCTATCTTCGTTAACAAATACACTGCTATAAGATAATCCTCAGCTATAACTTATCACAGATAATGTTTTTATCTTTACGAGCCGACCTTCAGATTCAGCAGTGCAAAGGGAAACTTTGAGCAACTACGCGACGGAGATACAGGAAAAAACGAACACAATGAATATGAGTTGAGAAGCTCATTGCCATTAAGCCTTTTTTAATGACTTAATAAATGTTACACAACTAAAATCCTAACTGGCAAAACTGGTAGTTTGAGTTACCACAAACACTCATATTTTCCTATACCTATCCGGAGCCGCAAAATAAAAACCTCGAGAAAACCAAGTGAGTTTTAAATCTCCATCAGCTGTTGACCAGATATTTTCTGACCCATACTCTTTGATACATACCTTATATAGACTCCTGAACACAAAGATATTCGAATTTTCACGTCGAACGGTTTTTGTGGTATCTTCAACTGAAACGAGTTCAACAATTACATCACACTAGCACTGAAGACTAACTACTCGGAAAGTTGTACTCATATATAATGATTGTGGCGAATTAATGTCTGAAGCGGTTACGTCTGATAATATTCATCATAGATAATCACACAAAATCTTATCCAACTTTGAGTAACATTAAAGTTCCTTTGCCCAACTTCACAATGACTGGTCTACTTGAAGAACTGATAAATAGCCTAAAATATGTAGAAGACATGATCCTCTAAGTTGAAGATGTTGGAAAAATGAAAAATCTTTTGAATACCATAAAGGATAATGTAAGAATTTTGGGATGTGTTTTTCGACTATAACTTAAATTCAAATGGAGCGTCACATTAGTACGAAGTTTTTTGTTAGGATCAAAGATTTTAAATAACAGCTCAAAATCCGTTGGAGTGAAGCAAATTAACTCACATTTCTTATCTTTTTGGTTTGCATTATCCTTTTCTAGCCCTTTTCTTTTAGATTTTTATTACTTCTGATTGCAAACCTGAGATTTTTTCCACTTGATATATATATATATATATATATATATATATATATATATATATATATATATATATATATATATATATAAGTATCGATTGAAAGTAAGTTAACAAAGACCACTAGAAGTGTAAAAAGACATAAGAACTATTCAGAGGATTGATTATTGATTAGATAATCAAATGATAGTATATTCAGTCATCCAGGTTACGATTTTTATCGTCATTCTATCTGAATCCACTAGCATTCAATATCGTAAGGTATACACCCCTGCACATGCACACATGTTGTAAGTATCTTTTCATAAAAAATAAGGTAGAACTAAACAAAGTGGAGAAAACGTAGATGCCCATTTCCTTCTTCCCTTGTCTGTTTCCATATTATTTGATAATAAAAAATAATAACAAAAAAGAACTTCAGATACCACGCTAAAAGTGAATTGAACAAGTGTAGAATAGATACAACTCCACTTCAGCTGCAGAACCATTGAAAACTAGAGAGTTTTAGCATTCGTCCAATCGGGAAGTTACACGTCCAGATTCTGGAATGTTCTTTCAAACGATGATTGGACGGAATGTCTTCGGCTCTTCCAGAACTTCCTTGAGTTAACCGGGAGCCCTCCCCATATATACTAACAAAGATTGATCTATAAGAATATTTTCTAGCTGAACCTTGATTTTGACAAACATTTGCACTAAAAACTTGGCTAATCCATACTAATAAATACATATTTGTTTGGATTAACCTAGACTGATGTTTTAGAACTAACCTATTAGCTCATTACACTATAATACTCATACCACTTCAAAGTTATAAAGGGTTTTTTAATGAACACACCTTAAATCTCATGAAAAAGATGATTTCATAGATGGGAATGATAGTTCTCGAAAATCAATTGAAATTGTTAACTTCTGACCGTATCAAATAAAAAAATCTGAAGAATTTCCTTATATGATAAAATTTTAAGCTGAATTAACAATTACTAACCTGTTGTTGCCATATAAAGCACTGATGAAAAAGGGTAACAGGTAGAGCTCCTTCATTAGGAGATAAATGTACGCGCAAAAGTTCTTCTTTAAGCTGTACATTATCATGGATACAATGAAGAAGAGCTATTGAAGAAAACCAAGCTGATGAATCACTGGAAAACAATCCTCCACAAAGCAACTGACCAGCGCTAACACCAAGCTGTGGAACTGAAATCAAAACCAAATGACTACTTTTAAGTGGCAATGAGCATCAGTTAATAGATATCAATACTAAAGTTAGACTTGATAAATTCAAATAAATTGGGTATTGCATAAAATTTTAATAATAAAATCGAAAGAAATATCTTGGATTGGTACCGTAGTTTTGCCTTACTGATATGGTAGGACAGAACAATTGTAACCTATCTTAAAACTACACAAAATGAAAATCTCCCATAAAACAACAAAAACTCTTTCAGATGCTTTGGTTCAAAACCAAGCTTTAGAAACCAGTAGCCACTTAATAAATATCCAATGATTCCGATAAGTTAAACGATACGATATAACACTGTACTTAAGATGATTTTCCTTAATTGGAGTTAATAAACAAAAAGAGTAATATGAGACACTTAGCCTAATAAATATACAACACACGTGTTTAACAGGACTTAAGAAATATTAGTGACTGACTAGCTATCGACCGTGGCTACCTTTCCAGTAAGTTATTAATGAATATTATCAATTTTTATCCACGGCTTTATTGAATTAATCTTTGAATTTAGTGATGTAGTCTAAATTTAAGTCAATAGCCTTTGTTCTATGAAGACAATTCATTGTATAGTTGACAATTTCATTTTAAGACAATTCAACATTTTAACATTTAACTAAACATACCATCATTAGGTTTAGGCAGCAATGTCATCACAATTGCATTCTGTCCTTGATGATTGGAAGCAAGATAACATTGAAAGCAGTATAGCGTAGCTACACGCACAACTACAGATTGATGCTTATTTAACATAGATACGAGTAGCACATTCACAGCAGATTGAGGGGGCTCTGAAGGTGTAACTAAATTTGCTAAATATTCTTGATTTCTTGGGCATCCACGTATTGAGTCCGCTAAAGCATAGATTGATTTTGTTAGGACATCTGCTGGAACACCACTAATCATCACAATATTACATAGTTTTTCTAGAAGACCACAATCATAAATCACATTCTGGCAGTTTCGCGTTAATTGAGCTTTATTACAAGGCGCTACCAAGGTTTGAACAACCTATTTTTTTAAATTTCAAATACAAATAGATTATCATCATTAACTTGGTACGTATAACGTACGAAAACAAAACAAGTAAATGTTTAACGAAACAAACAACACTTTATTACTAAAGTATATTAGAAACGAAATAACTGAAAATATGCGTTACATGTAGCGGAATAACACACTGATTCGAAAATATTTTTCAAATCTTGGATGTGGAAATAAAATATAAATCTTGGCACTTTAGTCTTTTGCACATGATTGGTAACAAACTATGGTCGTTGAATACTGTGAGGAAGGAATTTAAAATTTCATTTATACCTGTTATGGCTAAAAGATGAGTACATAAACCTGTAATTTGCAAATGAATCATATTAGAATAAAATGATCTCTTAAACAGAAGTTGATGGACCCGCACTATTAAACCACATATTTTAATGAATATCCACTAATCTAGTGAAACAAATGTGCTGTAAATAGAATTGTCAAGATAATTTCAAAAGGGGGAAATATTATCTTACAAAGTTTTACAGAAGCAGTTTATAAGCCACAGGAAAAAAATTAGACATATGTACACCTTAAAAAGGACAAATAAATTGTGTGCATCTAATGAGATAGTCAGTTGATCTTAATATTATAAATAAGAAACACTAGATTTACAAAAGTACTCCAATATAAAAGTAATAAGTCGTTTTATAAATATTGATGTGTTGAAAAATTTCAATCACTTATGTACGAATGTGTCGAAAATCTCAAAGAAATTTTAACAGCGAAAGCGGTATAAAACCCAATAAATTAAACGATTGAAAAACCTGAATGCAACTGGAAGAATTTGATAATTACATTCGAAACAACACTTACCTGCATAGCTACCTCCGCATTGACAACTTTCTGTGCAGACCAAAGGTGTGACTGTGTACTTTCAGTAGAATGCAAGTCAAATAAAAGCGAAAGACGCTGAATAAAATTCCCTTCTGCAAACAAGACTTGGTTAGATGGATTACCGTCTAACAATTGAAATAATAAACGAAGACAATCTTCTACAACCACACTACCATCACACAGACCTTCAGAATATATGATTTTCAGTAACCAATCGAAAGCATTTTCAAAGGCTACTATTTTCTGGATGTTAGCATTTGCTTTGGTGAGTTCCGTTAGAAGAAGTATGACCTGTGATAAAACAAAACTTCGAAATGTGAATAAAAAATTTTTAAATAACAATAATGATAGAAATTTAACGAATTAAACAGTGAATATAGTCTAGTAGGATTACACCTCCTTAGAGTATGAGGCCAAAATAATGAATCCCTTCAAAGTTTTAAAAATCACAAGTATAACAAGTGACCGATATGTGTAAAAAAACTAAAATCCATTTAACGAAGAGGATTAAACTGGTGGGCACTATCTTTTATCATAGTTTACTGTCAAACTCACATCATTCCGTAAAACTTCATGAGTGTCTGAAAGTATATCCACAAGTTTTGAAACTCCGGTACGACACTGAAGGAGAGCATTTTGAGTATCTTTTAGACGATTGATAGAAAGCACTGTAAGCAACCGCATAGCGTTCCGTCGAATAAAACTCTCAGGTGCCTGGTAATAAAACAAGTATAAATAACCATATAACACAATTTAATTAGAAGTATTGGGAAAAGTGACTGACTTTTACGATTACAAAATAAAACATTAGAGTACTTTATTTGACAAAATATTTTTAAAAAAACATGATGTATCAAAAACTAATTAATTTCGAGACCTAGTTATTCTTGGCATTTCGTTAACGAACGGTCGATGGGAGTACGTTTGTATAGAAATAAATGTATTTGTTAGTAAAAAGGAATATTTTCGTGTGTGGAAGGTCAACTAGATTTTCATCTCCCAAAATGTTTATATTTTTCATTGCGTCAAGCTGCATAGATTCTGATACCAGATTTCTTTGACCTAACCACTGCTATGAATCCGGTGTTCATCTTGTTGTGCTGATGCGGTATGGCAACCTGAACCGATGCACATATGTGCCTGGTCCTACGTTGTAGCTGACTGACTGACTGACTTCTTCTCAGTCATCACAAAAACGAGTAATTGGATACGAAGTACACAGTTTCTGTTTCTCTAAAATGAGACAAGACCTCACCATAATATTGTTATCCAGTAGCTAAAACAAAAAGTTCCTACAACCGGAAACAAAATATCTGTGAATTTTCGCTTAATTTTAAAATCTTCAATAACGGTAATTTCGACTACAGACCAACTGTTGCTGATAATTATTACCGATAAAAAACACATAACGACCAAAATATTTATGTTGAGAGAGTTCTCACTATTATTCTTCAGGTTTTCTGCATTTTCGCCTCGCAATCAGAAATTATGAATTAATAAATAAAAAGCCTATTTCCACTATCTGTGCTCAGCTATTTAAATAAACATTTCACCAGTCTGTGAATCAGTAACACTGTTTTGAGTAATGTTTCACGACCCCAGAAGAACTAAAACCCTTTTTTAAATGACGTTTATTATTGATAAAAGGGAACCTAAGTCCACTAGGAGTTTGCAGAAATAGAAATGTAGCTGTATGCTCAATTTTTTCTGTTACCGGAAATTTGGTCTACCTGTGTTAATAGAGTATGACGACTTGAACCGATATACACATATGCCAGGTTTTACGCTACGCTTGACTGACTGGTGCCTTAAGTCTACCAGAAGTATATTGGGTAGCGTTTCCGGTATACGGACAAGTCTTTATAAGGAATTTATTCCCACCGGAAAGACAACACGGGTGCTAAAATATCCAATAAATAGGACGGCATGGGAGCCCTGAACTCCACTGCTAGCTACAATCTAAGTGTGATAAGAATCTGAGGCGGTCATTTTGTACAGTAAAATATGGAAATTGTAACCTTGCAACATACGGTAATGTTCAGGAATTTGATAAAGAATGATAATGGGATAATCATATCCCCAAAATGAAGCGTGATTTACTCCATATCAGTGGTTTGGTTTAATGTTTTGGGTAGTCTGTATAGTGTATAATTAGTAAACAATTGATATGTACCCGTCACCAAACTGAAAGTCATGGGATGTTTAGCTTTTTAAATGTAGTGAAAATTGTCAGCTTGCCATATTTCACTCAGCTTCTTGACCTGAGCACTAGCCCAATCATTGGAATTGATCAAAGCGATATATGGTTTTACTGTATAAAACGATTTCGATAGATGGAGATTACTCTCAGAAGACAGCTTCATTCGTACTTTCATTGTTAACTGGAACATAGCTTGTTATAATGGAATAAAGTAAGATAGTTGGACATGATTTTATTATTTATTTGAAGACATATATATTGGTACAGGAGTGCGCTAAATAAATATGAGCCACGCAAAACAATGAGAATTTAAGAAGAAAAAAAAGTGGGGAACGTAAAAAAAAGATATAAAAAAACCATAACGAAGAGATTGGTGTAAGGTAGTGTAATAATAATAGTAATAGTAGGGGAACAGAAGGGTACAATCAGAAGAAATCTTTCACTTAAGGAAGATACAACCACGTTTTATGAAGAAAGTAAAAGAAGGTTACAGCATGATCGCCATTGGCTTCCATTCTGAGCCATATCTGATAACGTCTCTAGCCACTGCGTTGTACCATCTCTCGGACCCCAACCAGGGAGTCATGAAGGACCGACAGAAGCCAGTCCTTTGCAGCTTTCTTTCATACCACGACACAATGTCATATACTGACCACCTCTCCGCTTTCTCCAACCAGTCCGAGCGTCGGCAAATAATGCACGACGTGGAATTCTCTGGGACGACATTCGTAGAACATGTCCAAGCCACCGAAGTCGGTGTTTCAAGATGCTGACACCAATTGCATTATCGTCTCTGTGCCCGAACACACGATGCCGAACCTCTGAATTACTGACATGGTGTTGCCACTGAATGTCAGCAATCCTTCGGAGACAGCGATGATCGAACACAGACAGTCGTCTAACGTCCTCAACTCGGAGTGACCATGTTTCACAAGCATAGAGCAAAACTGCTCTCACCGACGTGTTGTAGATCCGGCCCTTTACAGCCAGACTAACATCACGAAGGCGCCAAAGGTGACCAAGATTGGCATAAGCCGCTCTGGCTTTCACTATTTGTGCATTAATCTCATCACTCACACCCCCACCAGCACTTATGCAGCTACCCAGTACACGAACTTCTCGACTACTTCTATCTGCTCACCAGCCAGGCTGAGTAAAAGATTGGAATCCTGCCAGTCTTGTAGAAGTACTTTGCATTTCGAAGGTGCAAAGCACATACCATACCTACGGACACTGATTGCCAACTGATTAAGTGCGGATTGCATGGCTTGAGCATTATCGCACAGTAAGACAATATCGTCCGCATACTCAAGGTCGAGAAGTCTTTCTCCAGGCAACAGATCCACACCACCATTACTTAAATTCATCAGAGCTGCTTCCAGAATGTCATCGATGGCAAAGTTGAATAGGAATGGTGAGATTGGGCAACGCTGCCTAACCCCACGGCTTGAATGGAACAATGGAGAAAGGTGGTTGTATGCCCTCACTCTGCCTGAGGTGTTTGTATATAGAGCTTTTAAGATGTTAATAAACTTCTCAGGCACACCCTTCTTCAAAAGGCAATCCCAGAGAACAGTCCTATCCAACAAATCGAAGGCAGCCCTGATGTCAAGAAACACTACGATTGTTGGCCTTTGAAAAGTATGACGGTGTTCTAACACTTGGCGGAGGGTGAAGATATGATCAATACATCCTCGACCAGAACGAAACCCAGCCTGCTCCTCGCGAGTCAATCTTTCTCAGGTTTTGAACAACCTACGAAGTATGACGGAAGCCAATAGCTTGGACGCAATCGGAGGTAGACTTATCCCCCGATAGTTGTTACAGGAACGACGTGAACCCTTTTTAATGATAGGGACAACTATCGACTCATTCCATGACGTTGGTACACCCTCTAGTTCCCAGACTTTTGTAAGCAACGTCGTCAGTCCCTTAGTCAGAAAGTCACCACCATCTTTAAAAAGAGCCGGAGGTAAGTCATCTGGGCCAGGTGATTTGAAGCGCTTCAAGAGTTGGAGTTCCTTGCGGAATTCCTACTCGTTTGGTGGATCAGTCGTCACCTGCCATGGGGGGCAGGACAGTCTGACCGATGCTGCCGGAACAGCAGGCCAGTTGAACTGCCCTTCGAAAAATTCTGCCCATCGTCCAAGACGTCGATGGATGTTAGTGATTGGCATCCCGTCATCCTCACAGATTTTTTCGCTCACACCAGACTTCTTGCTGCCAGTGGCTCGGATGAGTTGGAAGAGCTTCCGGTAATTACCAGGTGCATCTGTTGCTTCCAGCTCATTAGCACGCTCCGACCACCAGGCTTCTCGGTCCTTACACAAGCTTTGCCCAATTTCACTACGTAACAACCTTCATTTGTAGTCAAATGGTCACCCGGAGTAGACCGACGGGCTTCAATGAGTTGTAAGGAGCCTGAAGAAACCCAGTGCTTAAAAGCGGGACGTTTCGCAAACTCGCAACTGACTGTTCCCGCCATTTTCATGGCGTCATGCAATTGCAACCAATGCTCATCTATACTTTTCGGTGGAGTGGTAGCTAGCCTAGAGGCTAGCTCGGTTCGATACTTATTAGCAACAGAAGTTGCAACCAACTTGCTGACATCAGCCCTTTGATGGTGGTCACTTCGTTGGCCACTGAAAAGTAAGGCAAGATTGGCACTGACCAAGGTACACCAAAAGGAGCGGTAGTCTTTTACACAACCACGCCAGCGCTAGCTGATCGCGATGTGATCAATCTGAGTCCAGGCTTGAGATGCAGAGGGAGGACGCCAGCTGACACATCGGCGATGACTGTATCGAAAGTTAGTGCTAGCCAGAAACAGGTTGTGGTCTGTGCACAGTTGCAGTAGACGGTCCCCGTTATCTGTCCTGCGATTAACAAGTCCCCACCAGCCATCTAAACGACCCTCTCCTGTGCCTAGACACCCGACCTGAGCATTCAAGTCTCCGGCTAGTACTACAATATCTGTCGAACGCACTTTCTGGAGAAGAACAGATAACTGGTAGTAAAACTCAACCTTGATTGCATCTGGGCTGCAATCTGTTGGGGCATAGGCGGAGATGACGAAAAGACATCGTTTCTCACGCCGATTTCTTCTCGTTTTGATGGAACTTTCTAATCTAACAGCAAACAACCAACCGTTTGTTAATGGGGATCTAATCGATTAGTGCTGCCTCATCTCTAACACATAGTGCGACACCAACGCCAGCAAGACCAGACGAGGATGCCACAGGGTCCCCGGATAAACGGACGTCAGACAAGCTTTTCGAAGCGACAGATAGAGAGCGAATTTATAGTACTTCACCACAGTCTTGAATACGAGTCTTGGATAGACAAAAACGTCGATATTAAGACTTTCTAAAGACATAGCCAGCGCTATTTGTTGTCCGACCTGCATAAATGTGCGAACGTTGAAGGCAGCCAGTTTGAATGGTGCACGTGATTTCAGAAAAACTGCTTCAGTACTCATATTCGGTGGTAACATACAATTTTCAATCGGACAGTGACTCGAGAACATTTAGATACAGTCAACTTTCCACCATAGACGAGCTGCTGTATAAGTCGAAAAAAATAAGTATAGATAGAGTAGGAATAAAAGAGGGTGAATAATGACATAGTAAATAATAATAATAATAATAATAATAATAATAATAATAGCAATAATAATAATTGAATCATTTGAATGTTCGTCGAAGCAAGAGAATTAGTTTCCATGATCATAGACAGTTCATTTCATTAATTGTATGTGGGCTGCGATACTGCCCGGGTCCCCAAACCGAAGCAGGTGGTTATCTTAGGGGGCCACTCCCCGAGCCCTTGGCCTAAAGGTCTAACCCACAAGACAGTGGGACATCGTAAGGAGATGCAGTCCCATGGTAGCCGGTAACCGAAAATTGGTTCATACACCATTTGTTCCCGCAGGATACTGGTGCCCGTGTGCACCATTGATTCGGAACCCGGTTAAAGCGCCGGACATTCGATTTTCGTTCTCTCATTTTCGTAAGCAACACCCCCGCATTCAAGAACTAGATTTACGGCTTCGATCACGAACTGACATCGGTCAAAATGCCAAAACGCTATCTAGCCAAACGGATGAGTGAATTTCTCACCAAAACCCAGGACGCGCGATCCTAAATCTGATTAATTCCCCCATAAAATATGGCCTTGCCAGCTTATTGTATTACTGTATAATTAAATAAGCCCATTGTTGCCCTAACTACTCTTCGATAAGTACTGTGAAACAATACAATACGTTTACCATGTTCATATGAGACTACTGGCTTAGGAAAATGAAGTGAACTGATAATAAGGTCAACTTACATCCAAAAGTGACAATAAAGTTTGGTAATTCTCAGTGTTCTTCATATACATTTCCGTGAACTGTACACCCAGGTCAGTTGGTATATTGACTAACTCATGAGGTTCAACTACGGAACTTAAAAACTGGGAAGAACAAACCTTGTTCGCTTATTTCATCGTTCATCACAGAATAAAGGCCTTCCAAGGCGTAACATACACAATCCGAATCCTCCCTAAAGAGGGTGAATTATAGGCATTAAATGCTCGTAACAAACCAATCATTTTTCAGGACTGAAGAGAAGATCATCATTGCTTGAGTTCCAACCTCCAATCGGTACTTCTAAACACCTAGATATATAAAGATTAAAAATGTTTGCTTGCCTTAGAAATCGCTTTCAGGGCCCGTAAAGCATCCCTCTTGTCATCAATTCTAGTTGAAGACTGGTAGCGATCTACAAGCTTATCCACCTTTGACCAGTGTAAAAACCTTGCAAAAACGTACAATATCAGCTCCAACAACCTCGTCTGATTCCGTCGAACCACCTAAATATTTTCTAAATATTTCCATTGCTGATGAGCTGGAGGGGAGTAACGCAGTAGGGGAAAGACCCGCGTAGTCAAATGGTTCAAATGGTTCAAATGGTTGTGGATGGAATAGAAGAAGCTTTCGCTTAACAAGCCTCCGTGTCTAGTAGCAAGGAATCACCAATACTTCTAGGCAGGAACCTAGGTACATTATCTGTAATATATTAGAAAAAAAGAAATTGGCAGCTCATAATAAGATGTCATCCTAAGTCCGTAAGAATAAGTCAAGTTTCCTCTTAAAGGACTCCTGGGAAGTCGTCTGCACTAGCTCATCCGGCAGCAAATTCCAGCATTTGACAACAGCTGGCCAAAAATGCGCTTCAATGTTACCAGTGCAAGGTTTGCTCGGAAGGCATTTTTGTCACAGTTAGCGTAAGACTTTGAATCGAAGGGCACCAGGACTCCTAAATCTTTTTCGACTTGGGATACTACTAGAGAGGAGTTTCCTAAGTTATAACTGTAGTCTGCGACATGTCGCAGATGGAATACTTTACACTTTGAAGTGTTAAAGGTAAGTCCGTTATCGTCTGCCCAACTTTGAAGTTCAGTCAGATCCTCCTGAAGTGCCTGTATATCGTCCTGGATGCGTATTTCTCTCCAACGTTTCATGGCATCGGCAAAAAGTAATAAGTCTGACGACACCTGTTGTGGAAGATCATCTAGATAAATCAAGAAGAGATGTCCTAGTACTGAGCCCTGGGGGACTCCACTAGGACATTCCATAGCCTGAGATAAAGTGAAGTTAACTCTGACCTTAAAATTTCGATTTCTCAGATATGAAATGAGCCAATCAATTAGAGGTGGTCTGATACCCAGTCGTTTGAGCTTACTGACAAGACATGTATGGTTAACCCTATCAAAAGCTTTCGTGAAATCGAGGTGAATGATATCAACCTCTCCGCTGCGATCAAGGATGCTTGTCCATCTGTCCACCGCAGTCAGCAGGTTGGTTATACAAGAGTAACCCTTCCTGAAACCATGCTGTTGGAGTGAGAAGAAATTTAAGGATAGTAAATAGTCATTTATACCGTCTCATATAAGGGACTCCATGATTTTTGAAGGTATAGAGAGAAGAGCCACCGGTCTGTAACTTGAAGGTTCGCTGCGTCGACCTTCTTTGGAAATTGGTGTGATGTGAGCCAGCTCCCAATTTTCCAGTAGTTTGCCTCAGCTTAGCGAGTTTGAGAACATCACGTTAAGCGGTGTTGACAGGATTGAGGCTGCTTCCCTCAGTATAGCACAATGGACCATATCTAGGCCAGGAGAAGTGTCTTTTTAGGTGCTGCAGTTTCCAGAACACCAATTCAGCGCTCAGGTTCACTTCGGAAAGTCCCATGCAGTTGCAGATGAAGCTTTCATCAGTATAGTTGATGTGGGTCGGTTGAAATATCCGAGAGTATTGTTCAGCCAAAAGGTTAGCGGCGTCGCCGTCGTCATTTGTCGGGCGATTAGGACCTATCAGTCATACTCAATCAACAACATATTTGTAAACCATCACTATACAACGCCTCAGAGTTAAAAAACAGTTCAGTATATTTGATAGTAACCAACAATATTATTCTAGAAGCTGATGATACATCATAAGTACTTTTTATTGCAATGTCAACATTGTGTCGAACGTGATATTTTTCAATTCGTTTAACGGTCAAAGTCTATATTTTGAAGAACTATTTTTAATGCTTCGTGGTCTCTGTCTATAGTTATATTATATTTGTGTTGACATCGTAGAGACTGGTCCAGGTTCCATGACATGTCATAGCATGGGTAATTCTGTATTGGAATTGTGGTAGGCTGATCAAAGCTCATAGGTGATTTCTAGGCGCGTCTTGTGTTAGCTAAATATTAATTAAGAAGTTTTAAAACACAGTCTTATACACTGTTTATTCCAAATCAGATAACAAATTCATTTTATGTCACTATAATTTAACCAGCTTTTAGTGTATTGTCAAAACAGTCATTTGGTTGTTTATATCAAATCGAGAATCATTGGGTAAAGATTTTGGAAGAAACTGAATGTGAAAGGTCTATGAAAACGAAAATATAATGTAGTGTTGGAGGAAGGAAGTTAATGTGTGCCATGGTGCCATGTCACATTAGTTCATAAAGTAATCTAGTCGAATGAAGAAAGTGTGTGCCGTTCTCTAATCTCAACTCTGGTGCATTAGATACTGTTTGCTAATAGCGAGCATTTCGGATCTTTCCAACTGTGGAAGGTGATTCACGGATTGTTGGACAATTGCTAAAAGTGAAAGGAATCAAATATGTTCCTGTAGTGACTGATACAAATATGTATTTACAAACAGCATATATACACACAACCGCATACCGATTTTGGAATACAACATAAGAGTAAGTATTTGGCACTAAATTCTACTAGTACAATCTTTTTAGACACTCTTTCTGTAGTTTTGTGATTAATCCTAGATTTGTTTCTTTATAAGTTTCGTAAAAATCTTCAAGGAAGCAGCGAAGATTAGTAGTCCATGAAGTGGATTTTAAGCATCTTTTGTTCTTTGATCTGAATGATTTAATCATCATAAACACAAACTCCAATAAGGAGTAAATCGCTAGAATCTCTCCACAGGTATTCAGTGTTTGACAACGCTTTTACCAGTAACACCTTCTAATATAGTTCGTTCCCACCCAGAGAAATCAAAAGACGGAATCGAGGAGATCGGAAGAGTATATTTGGCGATGACCAATATATTGGAATTCTCTGATCTGGCTAGCGATTGCGGTTGATGTTGAGCACGGCGTTACCACACGTGATCTGGTGAGGATGCATGACCGAGCGCCTTCAGCTAGATGAGTCCACTAAAACATATGGTCAGCATCCAATGTCGAAAACTTAGAGCTATTTATTTTGGGCATTTATTTACCGCTACAGACTAGCTTGTTGCTATATTGACCTACAATTTCGGAAAACATCCCTATGAACTACAAATTTACTTAAATAAGAGTTCGAATACTCAATTCAGTGCACGATTTAAGCACTACTTTCACGGGAAGCCTAAAGTTGGAAGCAAATGCCTCACTACCTATTTCTAAATCTAGACGGCTAATTGGTCCAATAATGAAAGTTTTCTTCACAACAAAGGCTATGATTACTCTTTACAAAGCATGAATACGACCCTTCCTTCAATATTGCCACTTTATCTTCTCAAACATGAATACCACAGACAAGATAAAAGTAGAAGATGTCCAAAGACGCTTCACACGCTGACTGCTAGGATGTGACTCCACTTGTGAATAGACAGATTAATGTGAGCACCTCTCCTTAGAACCTATAGGTATTGTCGGCTAGGGAACAATCTATTATTTCTCTACAAAGCAATATATGGACTCACATTTCTAACTTCCTGCCAAACTATGATTCACAACGCAGTATACAGAATCAGAAACAACGCATATACACTGTTTATTGTAAAACACCGAAAACCATTGCGTTGTAAGTTTTTCACAGTACGGTTTAGTTTATTATGAAATAAGTTGCCAATTCCTATCCGTAACTGTGACACCATAACCAAGTTCAAAAGACTAATAGCACTATAACCTGAAAATAAAGAGCTTCACCAACTATTCCATGAACCTCTGCCACCAATGAGGCATTTCATTATGGACCGCTTAATATCCAGACCGACCATGAATATAATGGACCTCAATTGTCATTAATATGAACATAACCAAATGATAGAACACATTTTTTACTCTCTCCCGATATTCATTGCTTATTAATTATGCCCCCACGCTCCTAATACTCACTTTCAGATTCAGAATCTTCCTGATGCGCATTCTACTTGGGATACATGTCCTTTTTTATATTATGCGTAGACAGATAACTCACTAATCTCATCGAAGCTGATCAACTATGGCCGACCACAAGAAGCTCATAATGTTCCAAATTCTTGTGGGTTGCTCAATGTTTTGTCTTCTTATTTCGAAAACTTTACAATTCTTAACTCTTGCATATTAATTCATTTGTTATCTATTCTTACCATCTCTAAGCCACATATAAACTGACCTGTGTTGTTTCAAACTTTTACCATTAGTTATCTTCATTGCAGTGAGATATACTAAATAGATATCTAACCCATAATACAGAAGTTCCAACCATCTGATCTGATTTGCTAGTAACATGGAATTATTAGAGACGATGTATTCCAATAAGTAGCTTAGATTGAGGTAATATTCATACACAACACAAACGTAAGAGGGCCTAACATCACAAGAGTAGGGGGAGTGGTGTTACTGACCAGCAGGCCTGATGGTGGAGAGATAACGTCGATACACCCATGTCTGTAAGGCAGAACATTCTGCTAACTTACGGCTTCTTATGGTCACGTGGGATGTCACGAACCAATGGAATGAAGTGTGCTTATGTTCATGTCTATAATTATTACTGTTATTAATATCAATATTGTTCCCCCGAAACATTAGATATCCTTTCACCTCTTCTTATCCTTCTAAACATATTTAATTCCTGATTGTCCTTTGAAATTAACTGTGACTTTCGTAGCATCATTTTTAATTATTATTGCACAAATGTTTATACTAATATCCGGTTTCACTCCGTATAATATTACATAGATCTTCATGTATTTATACGAGTGCACTAAACGATTTATTTTACTTTTCGAAATTGTTGGTTTACTTCAGAGGTCGATATTCATATACGATTATTATTATCATGGTTGAGTCCTTTCACCGGGTGTTCATTTCTTTTCTCTCCCTATTTTATTATTCTTAAGATTACGAAGTTTGTAATTAAGACAATAACTTGTGTTACATTTAAATTACTAATTTGATGATACATAAGTAGTCGTTTATTCTTGTTCTGTGTTCAAAAACATACCTATTAAACTATTTGCCTATTTCACGTCTCCTTTATTTCTAGCCCCTTATTTTCTTCCTTTCCTTCTTTAAACTCAATAACTATCCTTCTCAATTATACAGAACCTGACTTATTACCATTATTCTATTATCATTACTCTCTTTTCCAAATGTGCCAAATAAGATGCTAACATTATTGAAACATGT